GGCTTATTTTCAGGGTAGGTCTTATTTTCGGGGATATAGGGTAGCACAGAGAGTCGATCACTATGAGAGGATTCCGGTACTCCTGCCAAAAGCCTGTATCAATAACCTGGGAAGTGTAGTTACTCTTTCTTCTGAAAACTGTCCTGTTTTGAATGAACTCCTTCTGCTATGTTATCTTATTGGGAGCTCTGTTCCCAAACAAGTTCGGTGTGTTGCTAAGCGGCAGAATTATTTACAAAACAGTTAGAACAAATTTAAAAATGTGCATCTTCACAAAGCTGTTTGTACTAATTGTACTTACACTTTCTCACCACTCTGTGAGGCACTTTTTAAAGACCAGATGAGGAATCATCATAGAATCGTCGTAGGGTTGGAAGGGACCTTGGAGGTCTTCTAGTCCAACCCCCTGTCCAAGGCAAGATACCGAATTATTTACAAAACAGTTAGAACAAATTTAAAAATGTGCATCTTCACAAAGCTGTTTGTACTAATTGTACTTACACTTTCTCACCACTCTGTGAGGCACTTTTTAAAGACCAGATGAGGAATCATCATAGAATCGTCGTAGGGTTGGAAGGGACCTTGGAGGTCTTCTAGTCCAACCCCCTGTCCAAGGCAAGATACCTCATCCCCAACCTTGGAGGTCTTCTAGTACAACCCCCTGTCCAAGGCAAGATACTTCATCCCCATCCCGGACAGATGGCCATCCAATCTTTTCTTGAAAACCTCCAGCGATGGGGCACCCACAAAACTCGGGAAACAAGCTGTTCCACTGCTTAATGGTTCTCACCATCAGGAAATTCCTCCTTATTTCCAAGTTAGATCTCCCTCTGATGGGTTTCCACCCATTGGTTCTTGTCCTACCCTCAGGCACAATGGAGAATAAATCAATGCCCTCTTCCCTGTGGCAACCCTTCAGATCTTGGAGGACGGCTGTCATGTCTCCCCTCGGTCTTCTCTTCATTAAGCTCAACATACCTAGTTTGAGGTGTAGGAGGGGCCCATTTCTCTCTGACTTCCCCGTTTTGAGACTGGAGCCGTGCGAGGCAAGAATGGCCAGATCTCCGATGACACCCCCACCTCACATAAACAGAAGGGGGGATTGAAGACAGCTCTCCTCCAAGTCAAGCCCAAAAGAACCATATGTAGTCTCCCCACCATATGTCACTGTTAGCCTTAGCAAACTGATTTACAGTGGGCCCTCTACTTAAGAACTTAATCCGTATTGGAAGGTGGTTCTCAAGTTGAAAAGTTCTTATGTTGAATCTGCATTTCCCATAGGAATGCACTGAAAACCATTTAATCCGTATCTGCTCTTTTCCATCCATAGAAACTACAGTGGAACCTCTACTTAGGAACTTAATCCATTTTGGAATGGTGTTCTTAAGTTGAAACGTTCTTAAGTTGAAGCAAAATTTCCCATAGGAATGGACTGAAAACCAATTAATCCGTTCTGGCTGTTTTTTTGTTATGTAGAGGTGCGTTCGTACATTGAAGCATTAGTTCCCATAGGAACTAATGCAAAGCTGGTTAATACGTACTCTACCACTAGGGGGAGAATTTTTTTTAACCTAAGATGACCTAAGGTTTAAAAAAGAGCAGGAAAGGTTTTTTTTCCTGTTCTTATCTTGGATTTCTGTTCTCAAGTAGAAGCAAAATTTAGCAAATGGAGCTGTTCTTAAGTAGAATTGTTCTTAAGTAGGGACGTTCTTAAGCAGAGACCCCACTGTACTGTGTAACTAGATTTCTCAGGTGTCTATATGTCTTTCTCAAGTATACTTGCTTCTTCATTTGTGCAAAGTGTAAATGGTAAATGGAGACAAGGCCAGTTCTCCACCAATCTTGAAAAGGGGGCCTCCAAAAGCGTCTGGAGAATGGAATGCATTCTCTTGGCATCAATAAAATTGCATTGCAGCATGATCGTCTCCTTTTCTTGCTCTTCTGCCGGGGACCGTCCTGGCCTAAATTGGGTAACATCACCCACCCCAGATATATTCTTTCCATGGACCCCTTGATAATCTTGGAGAGGAGGGAAGGAGGATTGTGGGATTGACAGGATACTTCCACTGGGGAGGCAAAAGCAATGGCACAATTTGAATACAGGATGTGCGCGTCTTTTCCATCTTGTCCCCCACCTCCCAGCTAAATGTTTTATTTCTCTGTTTTTGCATATTCCTTCAAATCGATGTCTCCCTATCACCGCAGGATGTGGTTCATCCATTTTCCGGTCCAAATCCTGTTGCGCAGCTACACCAGCAAAGCTTGGAGTTGCGCCAGCTCCTGCGAAATGGGTGCTGAGCGGAAAAATCATCTCCAGGAAGCAGTTGCAAATTCAGTCATTTGGTCCATATGCAGTTTATTGTGAGGTTGGCATGGAATTGTGTGGTTTGTTGTAGAGGCAAATGGTGCACCAGTAGTTGCACGGTGGGGCACATGGACTGCCTAGGCATAAAACCCCCATGAATATATGCTGCCAGTTTGAAGGGGTTTATAAGGCCATCAGGTCCAAACATCTGCTCAGTACAGGAATAGAGTACATAAATTTTACACTCGACCCAGTCCAATTGATTTTCAAGGATTTAAAGACAACGACTCCAGTGACAGGGGGCTCCTGTTCTAGTATCTATTTTTTCATAGGACTAAAACAGATTTTCATACATATTGTCTATTTCTTCTTTTTTAAACTAGTTCATTCCGTCAGTACAATCTGTTAATCAGACAGATTATGATACAAGGGTGCACAAGACAAAAGACCTGTAGATGTATGGGCTGAACTGGCCTACCGATATATAGCTGATGGACTGGATTACCAGCCACAGAAATAGCCTGTCTATGGAATGGCACCGAGGAAGCTTTTGCTTTATTTCATATACAGTGGTGCCTCACTTAACGGGCGCTCCGTTTGACGACAAAATCGCTAGACATCAATGTTTTTGCAATCGCAAAAGCGATCGCGAAACAATGTTCCCTATGAGGGAATTTTGCTTTGCGATGATCGGTTCCCTGCTTCGGGAACCGATCATCGCAAAGCGATGATTTTCGGCCAGCTGATCGTCGGTTTCAAAATGGCCGCCGGGGAAACAAAATGGCCGGCCACTGTTTTCTGGGACTGATTCCTCGCTGCACAGGCAGCGAAAATGGCCGTGCTATGGAGGATCTTCACTGGACGGTGAATTTCAAGCCCTTAGGAACACATTAATCGGGTTTTAATGCATTTCTATGGGCTTTTTAAAATCGCATTACGACGTTTTCGTTTTACAGCAATTTCACTGGAACGAATTAACATCATAATGCGAGGCACCACTGTACTGCACAATGGGCCGAATCTGTTCTCAATCACCGCAAAGTGCAGGACACACAACAATGGGCTCAAGTCACAGGAAGCCAAATTTCAATTGAGTATCAGAAAAATCATCCTAACTGTTAGAGAAGTATGACGGTGGAACCAGTTACCTCGGGAGGTAACAAGCACTCCAACACTGGAGGTATTTAAGAAAAACTTAGACAACCACCTGGCAGATATCTTTTGATTTGTATTCCTGCCCAGAGCAAGGGGTTGGACTTGATGGCCTTGTAAGGCCCCTTCCAACTTTATGATTCTATGATGGTCGCATCATGTGCTGCAGGACAGAGGGGTGATTTTACTTTATGGAAATAAATAAAAGCAATGCAATGAACTTTCTCTACCAACACAAAACTATATTTTAGAGGTGAAGGGAAAGAAGACAATTGGAAGGTAGTTGTCGTTTAGTCGTTAAATCGTGTCCGACTCTTCGTGATACCACAAAGTAGGGGAAATAAAAGAGAGGTCAGAGGAAAACAGGATACCCATGGTGTTGTGAATAAAGTGATGGACTAGGACACTGGAGAACAAGGTTTGAATCCTTCCTCAGCTGTGGAAACTGACCGGGGGAGTTGAACTGGTAAAAACACTCCTTAAGCTCCTCGCCTATCTGGAAAGCTCTCTTATGAGTCAGTTCCAACTTGACAGCCCTTAGCAACAACAAAAACAGCAACAGCAGAGGAACAAAAACACGATTACATCTTTCGAGAAGGGAACGCCACACTCACATCCTTTTCTTAGGTTTACTTTTCTAGATTTTGACTTTTGTAGATTTGGACATTTCTTCAAATGTTCTTTCACCTAGGTTTTGAGAAAAGTTTCAGTTCATAGAATGGGCGAACTACATCTTCTGCAAAATCCTACCCCTCCCTTATTGTCTTACACAAACAAACACACACACACACATACACCAGTGACTTCACTATTTTACATTTTATCATCTGGATTTTTCTCATCTGGATTCTTCTGGATCAATTCTTCTGCACATTCCCATGTCTTCAAGAACCTGTTCCTTGGAAAAAGTAGCTTTATGTCTTTCTTTCTCAATCTTTAGACCAAGCAGCTAAACCATGGTGAGCTTCAACTGTCAGAAATTCATGGATTTTCCATTGATTTCTTTTATATTGTCAACATTGTGGATTTCATTCACTGTTTATCTGCTATGATTTTAATAAATCCAATGATTAATTTCACCTGTGGATAACCTCCAGTGATCAGTGGTCAAACCTTTCACCCACTGGAGATCATTTTCAAAATCCTGCACCAGAAAAGGGCAGCTATCCCCCCAAAAAAAAAGATTTAACTTTGCCCATCTAGGATAGCAATTTGGATTCAACTTAAATAGGGAAGGGAACAAAAACATCATAGTTCTTCAGGAAATGTTTGCCCAAAACCCAGACATCCACTCAGATATTTTTTAGATATCAAATATGTTTTCCCTTAACTGAACGCTTTTCCAGAATCCTTATATTTAAACATGAGCACTTTCCATTTATGAGAATTAACTTTGTTGCTTAATAAGTACTCCACTACTACTGAAGCTCTTTCTATATTCCATTTACTTTGTTTGCTTATGTTTATAGGGGTGCACTATCAGGTAGAGTGAGGCCAGTCCTCTTGGTGACATTTTTTTCTACACACCACACATTTATATGACATCTCTCTCTCTGTGAGTTCTTTGATGTGAATGAAGGCTACTGCTCTGCCTGAAGCTCTTCCCACACTCCAAACATTTATAGGGTTTCTCCCCAGTATGAATTCTTTGATGAGAACTGAGGTTATTGCTGTAACGGAAGCTCTTCCCACACTCCATACATTTATAGGGTTTCTCCCCTGTGTGAGTTCTTTGATGTGAACTAAAGCTACCACTGTGACTGAAACTCTTTCCGCATTCCATGCATTCATGTGGTTTCTCCCCAGTGTGAGTTCTTTGATGTACACGAAGGCTACTGCTCTCAGTGAAGTTCCTTCCACATTTCATACACTGATATGGTTTCTCCCCTGTGTGGATTCTTTGATGTGAACTAAGGCTACTGCTCTCACTGAAGCTCTTTCCACATTCCATGCAATGGTATGGCTTCTCCCCTGTGTGCGTTCTTTGATGTGAACTTAGGTGATTGCTCTGACTGAAGCACGTTCCACATTCCATGCATTTATAGGGTTTCTCCCCTGTGTGAGTTCTTTCATGTGACTTAAGGTGACTCCTGTGACGGAAGCATTCAGCACATTCCATACATTTATATGGTTTTTCTCCAGTGTGAATTCTTTGATGCAAACCAAGGTTACCGTTACTGATGAAGCTCTTTCCACATTCCATGCATTCATACGGTTTTTCCCCAGTGTGAGTTCTCTGATGTGCACTTAGGTGACTGCTGCGACTGAAGCTCTTTCCGCAGTCCATGCATTGATACGGTTTCTCCCCTGTGTGAGTTCTTCTATGCCCACATAGGCTACTGCTGTTGCTGAAGGTCTTTCCACATTCCATGCATTCATACGGTTTTTCCCCGGTGTGAGTTGTTTGATGTGCACTTAGGTGACTGCTGCGACGGAAGTTCTTTCCACATTCCATGCATTTATAGGGTTTCTCCCCTGTGTGAGTTTTTTTATGTCTACTTAGGGCGCTCGTCATACTGAAGCTTTTTCCACATTCCATGCATTTATGTGTTTTCATCCTTTTGTGAGTTCTTTCAAGTTAACCAAATTTGGCTTTGGCTAAACTTTTCTCCACATCACAGGCCTTTATACCTCTCAGGGGTTTTCCACATGAAACATAATTATTATATTTGACTACACTCTTTGCATGTTCCATACATTGATTAGGTTTCACCTGCAAGTGGACTCTGCTATTTTTGTTCAAATTGGAGGTACATATTTCTACCAATAAGAAATGTTCATATTCCTGTTTTTGCTACCCCCCCAAGACGGACTAGTACACCATGAGAAACTTTCAAAACTTTCTCCTATCCCTGGTGGTCTTCCCTTCTTCCTTTTTCCTCCTTCACGTGTGGTTCTTTTCATTGGCAGAAGAAATGGATCTGTAGAATTCTGATTCTTCTGTTTGTTACCTGATGAAAAGAAATGAGAGAGAGAAGAGGAGGGCAGCACAGAAGGCAATCTCACTGGGATTGTCTAAGACTGTCATGAGTAAGGAAGGAACCTTATAGCTACACCAAGCCCCCAGAAAGAGAGAGGAAAGATCCTTGTGGGTCCATGATTATTATTATAAATCCCAATTCAGTCAATGAGCCTGTCCTAGTCTTATGTACCACTCTAAGCCACAGGAGTTTCACCTATGTACAGTGGTGCCTCACTTAACGGGTGCTCCGTTTGACAATGAAATCGCTAGATGTTGATGTTTTTGCAATCGCAAAAGCGATCACAAAATGATGTTCCCTATGGGGGAATTTCGCTTTGCAATGATCGAAAATGGCCGCGCTATGGAGGATCTTCGCTGGACAGTGAGTTTCAAGCCCCTAGGAATGCATTAATCGGGTTTTAATGCATTTCTACTGGCTTTTTTAAATCGCATTACAACATTTTCATTTTACAGAGATTTTGCTGGAACGAATTAACATCGTAATGCGAGGCACCACTGTATTCCAATGTTTCCTGTATGTCCACTGATTTCCATTTTGGTCCAGACCTTTTTTGGCTTTCTTTACCCTGAGCCTTTTTTCATGCAATGGCATTGTGCCAGGGCCAGCATCAAGGCTGTGTTGATGTCAGGCAAAGGACTGCTTTCAAGCATCTAAAACTTAGAATCTTCAGTCCACACACAGTCATGAGACTGAAGAAGAGTGGGACTTGTAGTCAAAGATTAAAGGAGAGTGGGAATGGTAGCCAATGAAGAAGGAAAATGGAGTCTGTTAGGCTTTAAAAATGAAAGGAAGAGAGAAAGGCAGAGAGATAGTTTTCCTTAATTTACACCTAGCCTAACACAGTGTGAATCCCGATAAGCGTAGAAGGACGAGGCACAGAGAGCATGAAGGCCCAACAAATTATTTTCTAATTGGAATGGAGATAAACCACTTGCATCTTCATAAGAATTGTGGGCGGAATGGACAGTTACGCCTCTTTGAGTTGATTGGTTTATGGTCAGGAAGGCGGTCCGAGTAATGTAAAAAATGGACGATGAGTCATGTGGGAGAGAAGTTCGAGATCCATGATGATGGAGAGTGAGTGAACTTGATTATTTGTGTATGCAGCTTGAAGGAAAGAGAATGTAAGTAATGGAAATTAGTTGTATTTAATTATGGTAATCCTTTGAACATGTTCTTCATGCTATGCTTGAGTAAAAACAAACTTGTTTCTATGGAACTTTATATTCCTAATAAAAATTATAAAAATCTTCACCAAGAATTGTCTCTTGGATCAGCACGATTTGGATAAATCCAGAGGAGTGGTAATGGCCATTGACTAGCTACCAGAGAAGTCCTAATTAACAGAGCTGTTGTAAGTTCTTAGGAACTACAAAGTCCATGAGTCTGTACTTGCAAAGTACTAGGTAAATTCTTTTAAGGTCAGGCTTTTTCTAGGCACAAAGGCTATGCACTGCTAGAGGTTAAGGATTTGTCCCAGCGTAAAAGTGGTAGACACAACCTTCTTGACCACACCATCCAAGCTACAATGGATGTATAGCCACGTTCTGCCAGCATTCCACACAAAGACGGACTACAAGCTATCACAATCATATCCAAAACAAGGAAGACGTTCACATAATCTCCACTCTTTATGACTCTGTCCTCACACACAACTACAGTGGTGCCTCGCTTAGCAATGTTAATCCGTGTAGCAAAAATCGCTGCTAAGCGATTTCATCACTAAGTGATATTTAAAAGCCGATAGAAATGCATTAAAACGCATTTAATGCGTTCCTATGGGCTTCAAAACTAACCTTATGCAACAATCTTCCATTGCCATTTTCGGTGCCTCCCAAGCGAAGCAACACAGCTGGCAGCCATTTTGTTTACCCAGCGGCCATTTTGGAACTGCCAATCAGCTGGCCGAAAATGGGGGCTTTGCAATGATTGCGGGGAAACGATCATCGCAAAGTGAATTTTCCCCATAGGAAACATCGCTAAGCGAATGCTTTTGAATCACAAAAACAGCGTCGCAAACCGATTTCATCGTAAAATGGAGCGATTGCTATGCAAGGCACCACTGTACTTCACCTACCTCCATATCAAACAGAATCCCTAGAAAAATTCCACCAGGAGTTGAATAACTTTCACTCAAACATCAACCTCACCCTGGAACAATCTATGCAACAGGTGTATTTTGTAGACATGACCGTGAGACACAACATGGACATCTTAACACCATGCTGAACTGGAAACGCACCAACCGATATACCAACCTGCACTCTTTCACCTTCTATCCTAAACACACACCAAAATCCATCATATAAAGGCAAGCATCTGCTCCGACCCACAGGATGGACTTCAAACTCAAGGATCTACGAATTGCATTCCATAGATAATATATATATATAGCCATTCACTTGCAGGTGAAACCTAATCAATGTATGGAACATGCAAAGAGTGTAGTCCAATATAATAATTATGTTTCACGTGGGAAACCCCTGAGAGGTATAAAGGCCTGTGATGTGGAGAAAAGTTTAGCCAAAGCCAAATTTGGTTAACTTGAAAGAACTCACAAAAGGATGAAAACACATAAATGCATGGAATGTGGAAAAAGCTTCAGTATGACGAGTGCCCTAAGTAGACATAAAAAAACTCACACAGGGGAGAAACCCTATAAATGCATGGAATGTGGAAAGAACTTCCATCGCAGCAGTCACCTAAGTGCACATCAAACAACTCACACCGGGGAAAAACCATATGAATGCAATGGCTATCCGAAGAATGAAATCAAAAGAGCCATCAAACCAAGAAAACAACACCAAACAGAAGAGGAAAAGCAGCCACCCACAAATAAGCATCAAGCACACTCTGGGTGGTTTACAAGTTAATTATGCAGGCTACACATTCCCCCTCCAGCGAGCTGGGTACTCATTTTACTGACTTTGGAAGGATAGAATGCTGAGTCAACCTTGAGCCGCTACCTGGGATTGAACCCCAGGTCGTGAGCACAGTTATGGCTGCAGTACAGCGGTTTAACCACTGCACCACAAGGCTCTTACCTTGCAGTTGTTGATGGGTATATATTGGAACCACAAAACACAGCATTCACACCAGAATCAAAGAAAATGAGAGACACTGGAGACTACAACAACCGGAAAAATCTGCAGTAGCTGAACATGCCCTAAAACAAGCCGGACATGAAATTCTATTTCAAAATACTGAAGTACTGGACAACACCAGCAATCATTGTGTTAGACTGCAATGGGAAGCCTTTGAAATCCATAAACATTAGCATAGCTTCAACAAAAAAGAGGAAAGTCTAAAACTGAACAAGGCCTGGCTTCCAGCACTGGAAAATACAGCCTGCAGAAGGTCAACAAACTCTACCCAGCCACAAAGACCAGGGATCATTGCTCAAAGAAGACCAGCTATAGACACCAATCAACCACAATGACAGTTAATCTCTCCCCTCCCCTTATCACAACAATTCATCCACACAAAAACATGCTGATCACCCTATCTCCTGAAAAGGACAAAAGCTGTTCCCACAACTATACTCAACTATCCAACAAAGAGCAACAGAGCATGGACAGAGTTCCTACTCCAATCCTCTGAAGATGCCGGCCACAAAGACTGGCGATACATCAGGAAGAACAACCTTCAGAACATGGCCAAAGAGCTCAAAAAACCCAGAACAACAGGTAAGTTTGGCCTTGGAGTTCAAAACAAAGCAGGGCAAAGGCTAATAGAGTTTTGTCAAGAGAACAAGCTGGTCATCACAAACACTCAGATGGGCAATACTGAAATCAGATTAATTTTCATTATATTCTCTGTAGCCAAAGATGGAGAAGCTCTATGCAGTCAGCAAAACCATGACCATGAGTTCATCATCTACACAGATGCGCCGAATGTGGGACAGGGAGCCATGCTGTGCCAAGCAGACATCAGCAGGGGTCTACATCCAGTGACTTACATCAGGAAGAATCTCCAACCTGGTGAGAAACATTCATCCACCATCAAGAAAGAGTGTCTAGCTATCGTATAGACACTGCAAAAGCTGAAGTTGTACATGTGGGGGAGAAGATTTGTCCTGAGCACATCTGTGTTCGACGTATCTGTGTAATGATGAACTCATGGTCAAAGTCTGGTGCAATAAGGACAGGTCCTGAAGTCAGTGTCCTCTTCAGACAACTGAAGGCTACCTGGCACTCTGACGTCCACTGAATGTCCTCAGTTCACCGCTTTTGGGTGAAGCCTATTTTCTTTTTGATTCGTAGCTTCATTTTCTCAACTGTGAAAAGGGAAGGCAGTTTCTTCAACTCTTCCAGAACAGCTATGTCTGCGTTCTGGAGAAATGAGTGGAGAAATTTTGTAATATTGTATTAACTGTTCTGTTTGTGTAATAGTTATGGAATATGCTTAAGGTGCTAAATTTGCTTGGATATTAATAAACTAAGAGGTATGTATAGTGATGGTAAAAATAACAGTAAGTATCCTTATTAATGTGAGAATAATGTAATGTAATCATTATTAATGCAAGTACTGTATTTTTCTGTGTATAAGACACCCCATGTATAAAATGCCCCCACTTTTCTAATCCAAAGTTAAGAAATCTAAGTGGGCCTTAGCAAGTGTAGGGGGAAAGGGATCAAAGCACTGCAGGATTACTTTGTTTTCTCTCTCCACAGCTTACTTCCATGTATAAGATGACCCTCATTTTTAGTCTAAAGATTTTAGACAAAAGTATAGTCTTATACATGGAAAATACAGTAATGAATCCTTAGTAATGTAAGCAACTGTTCTGTAAATATTGTAAGAGGTTAATATATCTTTATTAATGTAAAAGTAATGTAATCCTTAGTAATGCAAGTAATTTATGCACACAAAAGACTGATCACACAGCTATAAATACTTAACTAACCCACAAAACTGCACCGGAGCACAGAGTTCTGACTCCTGTCCTCTGAAGATGCCGGCCACAG